GACGTTGGGTTTTTGTTCGAGTTCTGAGACTATGAATTTCTTAACCCATGATTTCTAAAGCATTTCGCAGGGTGTACTCTCCGGCGGCCCCTCCCCCATGCCCGCAGCGATCCGTCTGCGGCCTTCTGACGTCGCGACGCAAGATGCGGCACCGTAGACCAACTCCACCAGCCCTGGACCCCAACTACTTTCTGCTGTAGTTCCCGAGCCAGATCGATGTGCAAGGGTCTTGGGGCCCGATGTAGGGCGAGCTCGTCAGACTTGCACACTGCGACGCGACGATCCCAGGGCGCCGTGCTGTGTGCTGGCCCGCATACACAACAGCCACATCTGGAGGCTGTTGTGTATGCGGGAGGAGGAGCGGGAGGAGGAGGAGGAGGAGGAGGAGGAGGAGGAGGAGGAGGAGGAGGAGGAGCCACCGCCGGGGTCGCCGCCGCGCCCCGCGCACGCGCCGGCCGCCGCGCCGCCCGGCGTGCCCACCGTGGGCTCCGGGCGGTCCTCGCCGGTGCCCTCTGCGCGGCCCTGCGGCGGCAACGCCGCGGGAGCGGGCGCGTCGGCGCGGAGCCCTGCCGGGAGCGAGCCGGCGCGGAGCCCGTCGGCGGCCTCCGCAAAGGCCCGCCGCAGCTCGGCCTCCTTTGGGGCCGCCGGGGCGTCTGCAGTTCAGATCCGCTGCCGCGGGCCCAGGCTTGGAGGCCTGGAAGTGGGCACCAACACCAGCACAGGGGGCTGCCTCCACGAGGGGATGCTGCTCCTAGATTTCGGTATGGGTGGCAATGTTTCGGTCACCCTGAAGCCAGAGTATTACCACCACCACCGAGATCGGAGTCTTCTTCCCTCGGTGGAGGCACACCGCCGATGCTGGTGTTGGTGTCGACCTCTAGGCCTCCGACAGACACCGTCGCGCCGTGGCGAGGATCAGGGCGGGGCGTGTTTGCCATTTTCGGCATCCTGGGGTCTTCGCCGGGCCCAAGGACCGTCCACGCACGACTCGGGAGGAGGGGCGGTCCCAGGGAGAGGGTCGAGGCCTCCGAGGGTCCACGCTGTGCAAAAAACATGACGTCGGGGGTCTGTGGGGTCGTGCCCTGGGGACTCGGGGATCGGTGGGTTAGGATACCTGCCCGCTCATGCGTGCGGGCAGGTATCCACAGGTCCACCACGCCTACGATCCCTGGGCACAGCTCCACAGCGGTGGATTTGGGCAGATTCCCCCAAGCAATGCTTGCAGTCAGCGGTTCTCACTTTTATCTTCTACGGTTGAGCAGGGTCTGACCGTCCCGGCATTCCCTTAGGCCTACCACGACATGTTTTCAGAACCCAGAAATGCTCGAATAATGAGAACAACGTTCTTATAGCATAAAGCCGATGTGCTGAAACAAAACAGTCCCAACCGAATATGTTCAACATGATATCTGAAGGGGCCCAGAGACACACACACACATAAATACATACAAACCCTAGGATTCCCAACATGCTTTCCATACTTTTTTGTTTGGATGTTCGTCTTCCCCCCACTTCCCATATTTCCTGGCGGATCGACGATTCACTGTGCCTGTATGATGTCTTCCCTCCTGGATCTCTCGTGCACCCGCGATCGCTGGTGCCCGTCTGGGCCTGTGCGCAGCTCGCCGCCCGCCGCCGCCCGCCGCCGCCCGCCGCCGCCACACTCTGGCGGCGGATTGACTGCGCGAGCCTCGTAGATTGCACCCGATATCGGCGGTGGGCAAACCTCCCTTTGATACAGTCGGGGCCTTGACCTAAGGAGCCCTAAAGGAGGAACGAGGCCCCTGTTTTCCATAGGTTACACTTCGATCTCCGATCGGAAGCAGAAGGGAAACCTGAGGCAAGCTGTGAAACACTTAAGGAACGCGGAGCCCCTCCCCAACCAAAAGGGTTCCTTCTTCAGGGCCCCGACTGTAAACCTCCCTTTCGTGAAAACGGCCTGGGAACGAGACCGACGGACCTGGACCCGCAAAAGGACGGCCGCGGCGCCCTCTCGCGAACCGAGAGCGGCCAATTCGCTAATCGAGGTGTCAGGGAAGGAGGTCTGTCCACCCCCGAAGATAGCTTACACCACATATATTCTCCCTTTCCCTCTCCTATGAAAAGAATGGCCCCCCCTACCAAACCCCTATCCGGGATGCCCCGGGATGCGAGCGTCCGGGAGCGTGCAACTGGGAGTTCCTGGGGAGCGTGTGCGAGCGTCTGGGGTGCTTGGGAGCGCTGGGGGGGCGCCCTACGACGGCGACGGTGACGGCGATGGCGACGGCGGCGACGGCGACGGCGACGACGACGGCGACGGCGACGACGACGGCGACGGCGACGACGACGACGACGACGACATCCAGAGGTCTCCGGAGGTTTCTAGAGGTCCCCGGAAGTCTCCCTCCGTCTCCACTTCCACAGAAGCCCCCTCCCCCGCTCCCATTAGGATCTCCCCGCCCCACTGCCACGGGGGGGCGGGGGGGGGGGGGGCGCCGGTGGGCCCGGTACGGCAGAGCCTGAGAAGAAGGGCGGATGCCCGCCAGTGTCGGGTCGGGCGAAAGGGGGGGGTAGCAAAGGAGGGGTTTGAGAATCAGCTCACGTAGCTGATTTTCCCGGCGCCCCCCGGGGCCGGAGGCGCCTATGTATCGAGGAATGGGGCCCCTCGGTGAGGCCGAAGCCAGCTGCATGCAGCGAATTTCGTACCCCCCCCTTTCCCAATCCCCCCCTTTCGCCCGGCCCGCCAGTGCGCCGGGTCACGAAGCCCCCTTGGGAGGAGGGGGAGGGGCAAGGGGGTCCCAGTCGCTGGCGGCCACCGGTGCGCTGGGTACGAGCCCCCCGCCGGCAAAGCGCGAGAAGGGGGGTGAGACGTGCCACCGCGCGCCGCCGACTTGTGTATTAATACATAAACAAATGAATACATAAATAAACAAATAAATGAATACATAAACACATAAGTCAATACATACATATATATATATATATATATACACACATGTATATGCATTAAACAAGATTCTGGCGCTGGGCTCCTGGCGCCCTCCTAGCACGCAGTTGAGGTTGCGCTCCAGGATGAACGGGTCCTCGATGTGCAGGCGCTGGGCGTGCCTGCCGCGGAGCCTCTCGAACTCGGGCCTCGCCGCGGCGAGCCTCTTCCCGAAGCGGACGCTCACGACCTCCTTGGGGACGCCCAGAGATTACACCCTACGAAATGCTTAAGAAATCATGGGTTAAGAAATTCATAGTCTCAGAACTTTCATAAAAACCCACAATTTCCATTCAAATCTTAGGATTGACATTGAAACATTAAGAATAGTCGAGACTCTGGCCGAAAACTTAGGATTTCTTAAGCATCGCCTAAGGTGTACCAATACCGCCACTGCCCAGACCTCTCCTGGGGTGCGCTCTGACCAGGATTGCGAGGCGAGTCCCGCGGTGGCGACGAGTGCCTCGCAGGAGGCCCGAAGAGGCGAAAGCAAGGGACCAAAAATCAATACGGGGTCCCCGGAAGTCTCGACCCATCCTCCGGGACGGGTTTTTCATCCCGACCGTTTTTTGACGGTCCCGAGGCCCGGCGAGGGCCCCTGGGGGCCGAAACCTCCGTTTTGATTTTTGCAATACGTTGGATGTTTGGGTTTTCCTCCTCTGACTCCTCGCCCGTCCAGAGCCTGCCGTGGTAGAACAGGAAGAAGCGCTCGAGGAGCTGCGCAGTGGACAGGGAGCACGACCATCGGCCACGGCACTCGGCCACGATCCTCTCGTTGTCTTGCCCCGCGTACGGCTCCTCGCGAAATGCGTCCACGGGGAGGATGACCGAAGAAGACAAAACTGCATCAACAGACCCGTCGGTTGGAAGAAGCGGGTGGAGACACAGAACAGGAAGGCGTTGGAGGTAGTTTTGGGCTCCCACACGCCCCCTGATGCGGGCAAGACTTCTGTCCATATCCACTGCAGTATGGAGTTTCGGGCTCCCTTCCCAAAAAACCCGAGGCGCACTGGACATGGATAAATTAGCCCCCTAGAGGCTCGACTTTTATCCATATCCAGTGCGCCTCGGCCTTGTGGCGCCGCTTCCCAAAAAAGTCCGAGAGGCACTGGATGTGGACATGAATCTGGCCCGCACCTGAGGAGGAAGGCAAAGGCGAAACCGCTCGACCACTGAAAAGCAGGAAGGCGCTTACAGCGTAGAACCCCCAAAATCCCCAATGCCCGTCTTCAACGACCGACGGGTACACCCTGCGAAATGCTCAAGAAATCATGGGTTAAGAAATTCATAGTCTCAGAACTTGAATAAAACCCAGAACTTCTATCAAAATCTTGAGATTTACATTGAAAAATTAAGAATCATCGAGACTCTGGCCGAAAACTTAAGATTTCTTAAGTATCGCCTAAGGTGTAGACCTTCGGAGCTCCGCGCGCGGCCCTCGTGGCTCAGCGCCGGACCCCCTCCCCTCCCGCGGGGCGCCGCGAGCCCGAGGGGGCGTCCGGCTCCCGCCCCGGAGGTCCGCGCCGGAGCTCTCCGAGAGCTCCTGCCCGTGCAGCTTTTTTTTTCTCCTTCGAGCTCGGCAGCGCGACCTCCCGGTCCACCTGGGGAGGCCCAAGAGGTGCAGCCGAAACGCTGCCACAAGGGACCCCGAATCAGGAACGGAGACCCTTGTTCCCATAAGTTAAGCTTGGATTTCCCATCGAAGATAACAGGGGATATGTCGACCCCTATCCCAGGCTTCGTGGGGTTTCCGAATGGACCAGAAATTTGGGGCCTAACCCTGGGATATACGATGGGGGGGTGTCCATTCTCGATAGGGGTGCGTCCGAATAACCCCCTTGGGGTGTATCCCAGGGTTTTCCCATTCTTCTGAGCGGCCAGACTTTTCGGGCGAAACTCGGGGATTGGGGGAGAAACATCGCCCGCGAGAAGACCCAAGGAAAACCTCAGCCAAGCTATAAGACGGTTAAGGAACACCGAGCCCTTCCCCAACGAAAATGGCTTCCTTTTTCCACGGGCCCGACTGCACCGATGCCGCTGCCCCTCCCTCGTGCTCCCCTTCTTTGAAGGGGCCCTGGGACACACAAATAAATACACACAAATAAAAATATTCCCCATGCTTTCCTATATTTTCTGGGTTTTTGTCTTCCCCACCACTTCCCATATTTTCCCATATTTTCTGGGGGATCGAGGATTAATTGTGTCTGTGTGTTTCTTTTCCTCCTGATTCTTCGGCCTCCCGGGAGGCCGTCGTCGCCACCGCCGGACTCGCCGCGGAAATTCCCGTCAGGACGCACCCGGGGCCGTCTTGTGGGTGCGGGCGGGGGCCGGGCGCGCCGACGAGAGGGGGGCCCGAGAGGGGAAGAGGCAGAGCACAGAGAGAGAGAGAGAGAGAGAGCTCCAGGGACAACCAGAGGTACGACTCCCTGGAGCTCCCTCGGGGTGCGTTCTGCCGAGCAATCCGAGGCGAATCCCGCGGTGGCGACGAGGGCCTCCCGACGACGAGATGAGAGCGGTATGGGGTTACCGCCCGCTTCCTCCCACTGACCACCTGCATGAAGTAGATGGCGAGGAGCGTGAACGAGTAGGACGATAGCCTGCCGCCAGAGGCGCCACAGACGCCCGCGGCCTTGGCCCAGAGCTTCACGGCGACCACGAGGCTCCGCACCCTCTCGTCGAGGCCCGCGTACCCGCGCAGGAGGCGCGTGTTCTGCAGCGCCCTCGTGTTCTGCCCGGCTGCGCGCAAGAGTGGCCCTCTGCAGGAGTGACCTTCGGCGTGTGAGGCTCTCGCAGAGGCCTCCTAGATGGGGTCGGAGCCGATGGGGTCGGTGGATCGCGCCGCATCGCCGATGCATCACCGATGCATTGACGATGCATCCACGGATGCATCGGCGACGTCGGCGTGGAGAAAGGTGGGCTCCACACCGAGCCGCATCGCCGACGCGCAGGGCGATGCGGGGCGATCCGCCGACCCCAGCTGCTCCGACCCCATCCTGGAAGGCCTAGCTTTGAGGGAGCGCGGGGGGGGGGGGGCCATGCCGAGCGTGCAAGCCAGTGCTCGGGGGAACCACTGTGGGCCCGCACGAGGCCAGCCCGGCGAAGAGGGTCACTCGTACGAGCCGCCGGCTCTGGCAGGACAGGTCCACGTCCAGCTGGTCGTCGAAGCGAAGCTTCAGGATAGGCACCCTGGCCTGCAACACCTCCTCTCGACGGCGACCCCGGGGGGGAAGCGAGAAGGGGCGGGCCTTCTCAAAGGCTTGGAAGCCCCCCAGCCTTGGGAGCGGCAAGGAGGGGGGTGTCCAAGAGGGGGGGGTGCAAATCATGACTGGCGGCATGTGCGCGGCCCAGCGGGGGGGGCCAGGGACGTAATGAAATAAGAAGAGGCGCCATGAAATCTGGGGAAATACCATGGCCCACGCCATGATATCCACCCCCCCCTAGTCATCACCTCCCTCTTTTCCGCCCCCGATTGTGAGAAGTTTCCCAGGCCTTCCCGAAGAGGCCCGGAGGCAGAGAAAAAGCCTCTCAGAAGGTGCGCGGGCTTCCGAGCAGTCCCGCCGCCCTCCGAGAAGGCCCCTCCTTCTCGCGTTCCCCCCCCGCGCGCGCCGCCGATCCTCCAGGACCTTGAAGCGGGGGTGATCCTGTCAGGGGGGCGTAAGACCCGGGTACAGGGAACTCGGAAATCCCCCACGAGGTCGTCAAACAAATGACGAGGCCGGGCCTGCATTTCGACGAGGCCTCCCGCTGCAGACCTCCCACGAAACTCCTGCTCGCCAAAGTCCAGGACGCGCTCGTGAAGAAACGATAGCGAAGCCGAGTCCTGGCAAACACGGGTCTTGTAGGGCGACGAGATCTATGCATATCCACTGCTCCTGGCCAGGCCCATCCTGGGCCCAGGAGCGGTGTATATGCCTCCCTGGCCAAGCCAGGAGGGCGTATACACAGCTCTTGGGCCCAGGATTGGCCTGGCCGGGAGCAGTGGATATGTATAGATATCGTCGCCCGATCTTGCGCTCCCCCGATCCCGGAACAGCGGGCCAATCTTCTCGGCGAGGAGGCCGGCCGCGGTCTGGCCGGCGGGCAGGCCGCGCCGGCACAGGCAGGTCACGTCGACGTCGGAGCCGCGCGCGCGGAGGGTGCTGGGCAGGCTGCCGAAGGGCGCGGCGCACCACTCCTCGGCAGGGAGCCCCCGGGGCACAGGAATCGACAGACACGAATCCCAGGAGTCCCACCAGCCCTCTGGGCGTAGGTGGTCTAGAGCAGATCCTCTTCCACCCCTCCCTCTTCCCCCTTGGGGAGGGGTTTACCCCTCCCCCTACCCCCTCCCCTGGACCTGGACGGGGGGGGCCGCGGGTAGTTAGAGCGTCCCAGATGGCCCAAGACGGCTCCAAGAGCGCCTCAGAGAACCCAAGATGAGCTCCAAGATGGCTCAAGATAGCGCAAGATCGCTCACGATGGCTCCTAAGATGGTTCCAAGAAGCCCAAAGACGGCCCCAAGATAACTCCAAGTGGCCAAACAGCTCCCCAAGGAGGCCCCGAAGAGGCCAAAATCGTCCCAAAACCTAAGGAAAATCAATGATTTTTGCTTTCTCGCCTTTTCGCTTCCGATGGCCATCCGAGGCCTGGAGATGGTTCCAAGATGGCCCAAGAGGGCCCCAAGAGAGCCCCAAAAGAGCCCCAAGACGGCCCCAAGAGCGCCCAAGAGCACTCCAAGAGCGTTCCAAGAGGGGTCCAAGAGGCGATTTTAGGGGCTTCCGAGGGGGGGCGCTAATTCACCCCCCCTCTTGTTTGATCGACTCCTCCAAGATGGCCCCAAGAAGCGCCCAGGAAGCCCCAAGAGGTCCCAAGATGGCCCCAAAATGGCCCCAAGAGGCCCCCAAGAGGCCCCCCGGAGGCCCCCAAGAGACCCCCAAGAGGCCCCAAGAGCCCCCCCAGATGCACCCAAGATGCTCCAAGAGGCCTCGGCGAGAATGCCTAATCATTGATTCTACACAGGTTTTAGCCACATGGAGGCCTCTTGGGGGGGGGCACGGATTAAGATGACTCCAAGAGCGTCTGGGAGAGCCCAAAATGACCTCCAAGATGGCTCAAGATATCCCAAGATGTCTCATAATGGCTTCCTCTGTGTGCTGCCCACTTCTCTGATCGAGGCAATTCCTCTGGGCATCGTTTCTGGATGGGCTGGTGGGGATTCGCGAAGCGACAACAATTCCAATCGTCTCTCTTTTTTTGCTTTGATCTTCGTCTTCCCCCCCCACTTCCAATAAGTTCACGGTTCCCCTATCTTCCTGGGGATCGATGGTCAAGTGTGCGCGGCGGGGACTTATCCATATGAACCGCCTGGGAACCGGCGTCCTGGTGCCCCAGCGGGCGGTGGATGTGAATATGTTTCGGCCCCCGGGGGCCCGAGTGTGTCCACATCCGCCGCCTGCCGAGGCTCCGAAAACGGACCGTCCAGGCGGTGGATGTGGATAAATCCCCCGCCTCGGAAATTGTGCCCGTGCATCTCTCCCCCAGGAGGAGGAGGAGGAGGAGGAGGAGGAGGAGGAGGAGGAGGAGGCGGAGGAGAGGAGGAGGAGGAGGAGGAGGAGGAGGGGGGAGGAGGAGGAGGGGGAGGAGGAGGAGGAGGAGGAGGAGGAGGATGAGGATGAGGAGGAGGAGGAGGAGGAGGAGTGGAGAGAGGAGGGGGAGGAGGAGGAGGAGGGGGAGGAGGAGGAGGAGGAGGAGGAGGAGGAGGAGGAGGAGGAGGAGGAGGAGGAGGAGGAGGAGTGGGAGGAGGAGGAGGGAGGGGGAGGAGGAGGAGGAGGCAGGAGGATGAGGATGAGGAGGAGGAGGAGGAGGAGGTCGAGGAGGATGAGGAGGAGGAGGAGGAGGAGGAGGAGGAGGAGGAGGAGGATCTCTTCCCCCTCCCGATCCTCCCCCGCCTGCTTCAGGGTGGCCTCGAGGCTGCCGAGCGCCTCGCCGATGCGGGCGGCCTCCTCCCCCGTCGGGGCGCTGCGGGCCAGCCGCTCCCCCAGGAGCGCGTCCAGCGCCGGGCGCCCGGCCTCGGCCTGCGCTGCCGACGCCTGCGGCATGGCCTCTGGCTGCCACGCGCTGCGGAGGCCGGCCTTACGTCGGGCGTGTCCCCCTACACCCTGCGAAATGCTTTAGAAATCATGGGTTAAGAAATTCATAGTCTCGGAACTTGGAGAAAAACCCAACATTCCCATTCAAATCTTAGGATTTACATTGAAACGTTAAGAATAATCGAGACTCTGGACGAAAACTTAGGTTTTCTTAAGCATCGCCTAGGGTGTACAGTCGGGGCGTTGACCTAAGGAACCCTAAATAGGGAACGAGGCCCCTTGTTGTCCGTAAGTTAAACTTCGATCTCCTGTCGAAGACATAAGGAAAGCCTGGGGCAAGCTGTGAAACACTTAAGGAACGCGGAGCCCCTCCCCAACGAAAAGGGGTCCTTGTTCAGGGCCCCGACTGTATAGGGGGATTTTGGACAAAACAATATCGAATGCGCAACACAGACTCACAAATGGTCAAACACAGACTAAAAAAAATAGTCCTCGGACTATTTTTTGCTCATTTTCGAATACTCCTCCTGTAAAGGGCGTGTCCCCCTGCAGGGGGATTTTTAACGCGCGAAGAACGGTAAAACATAAACTTTTCCGCCGTCGGGGACGCCTGCCCCTTGGCGGCTGGAAAGTTTATACCCCTACGGTGGCACCGTAGGGGTATAAACTTTCCAGCCGCCAAGGGGCAGGCGTCCCCGACAGCGGAGAAGTTTATTTTTTACCGTTCTCCGCCCGCTGAGATTTTGGACGAAAAATATCGAATGCGCAAGACAAACTCACAAATGGTCAAACAGACTAACAAAAATCGTCCTCCGACTATGTTTTGATTCTTTTTGAGTATTCCTCCTGTGAAGGGACGGGCCCGACTTAAGGCTGGCCTGGGTGCGCCGGGAGTCTGATCTGCTCTGCGCCCGCGCGCTGTGGAGCACGGCGCAACCCGCGGGGCTTGCTCGAGGCAACCTCGGCCACTGACGAAGAGCCGTTTCGGGGATCTTCTGACCCGGGTCAATCCAGACCCGGGTCAGCAGGAAACCAAAAACTGCAATGCAGGGAAAAAAAACTGCAGCGCAGGTCCTCGCAAACCTGGGTCAGCCAATAGGCGCGGCCGCCTCGCGGCCACGAGCGGCTCCCTAACCCGGGTCAGCCAGAGGGGGTCTTTGCAGGATCCTGCAGGATCCGGCGACGTGGCTGACCCCCGTTTGCATTGACCCCCGTCTCAAGGCTCCCGACCGTTCACGTGCACATGTGTGCCGGTTGTCGCGCGGCTGCGCGTGCGCGGATTCTTCGACTCGTCATGAACAGTAGTGGGCGTGCGCATGACGCTGCACACCAGCATCTGCAAGCGCACGGGTGTGCTGGTCCCAACATTCACGCACGCCGTCTGCATACACAAATGTCGCATGGATGTGCACGTACGGTACGTATACGCGTGCACGTGCACGCTCTATTCGCCCCTTCGGAAGTTGCATATTCAACACAGCCTGGATTTCAGGCAGGGGTGCTACCAGTATTTGCCACGACGTCAACGGTAATGGAACACTGCACGCTCAGAGATTGCCGTTCAGGCAATCCGCCACTGCGCCTTCGGGACGATGGGGCCTGCTATTGTGCCTTTTGGTTGCACGGCATGGTCTCCGCAACTTTCCAAAAGTGACCAAATCCACTCCAAAAGTGGCCTGACCCGTGCTTTTTCATCTCGGCGATGTTCACGGCCCCAGAGGCTCCGAGACGGCCAAATGCCTCCCCTACGTAAGACGAGCCCACCCCCCCGAGGCCGCAGCTTGCCTTCAACAGACCGCAGCCACAACCCAACACGCGGCAGCGGAGCCCCCCAGCAAGCACCTGGTGAGTATGTATGTATACATATGTGAGTGAGGGGCCGAGCGGTCTTACACCATCTCTGGGTGCGTGCCTGAAGTCGCCCTCCGCGGTGAAGACTCGTGCTGTTGTTGTTGCTGTTGTTGTCGTTGCTGCTGTTGTTGTGATTGTTGTTGTTGTCGTTGTGATTATTACTGTTGTTGTTATTGTTGCTGTTGTTGGTTGGTGTTGTTCCCAATCCTCCTGTGTGCTAAGTCCGCGTTCTGAGTTCGCAGCGCTGCGTCACACCTCCTCCTCCTTCCCAATTATCTCTTCTTTTTCTGATCTTCCTTGTATTCCCAATGCACTTGTGTGTTAGGTCCTGGCTTTGATTTCGCAGCGCCGCGCTCCATCTCCTCACCTCTTCCTCCTCGGCCTCTCCTCGTTCCCCTCATCCTTGCCATCAACATCATCCTCCTCGCCGTCATCATCATCGTCGTCAGCATCACCATCTTCATTCTCGTTACCACCGTCATCGTTGTCATCGCAATTTCGCCGCACTCCTGACTCGCTTTGTTGCAACATAGAGAGCTGCGCCGCATGCTCCAGCGTCTGCGTTCGCATGATGACCCGCCCCAATTTGGCGCAACCTTCAAACGGGTCGTTCACCACAGGGCGCCCCACCGAAAGCCTCCACCGACGGACCCAAAGGATGCGTCCGCATGGTCCGTTCCGGCGGCACACCCATCAGACGTTTCGTGGCCCCGTGGTGACCACCACCCAAAACCTCAATGGTTGCGCCCGCATGGTACCCCGCCTCATGTCGGCTCACCCATCACATGTTTCGTGGCCCGATAGGAAGCTCCACCGACGGCCCCAGTGGATGCGTTCGCATGGGGATGCACCCCTTTTCGGAGCACTCCTCCCACGCTGGATGGCCCCACGCGGAGCTCCACCGAAAGCCCCAATGGCTGGCCCCGTTTTGGCACAACCCTCACACGTTCCGTGGCCCCGTAAAGACCACCGCACAAAGCCCCAGTGGCTTCGCCCGCATGGTGCCCCGCTTCATACACGCATCACACGTTTCGTAGCCCCATGGGGAGCTCCACCGACGGCCCCAATGGCTGGGCCCTCATGGCGACCCGCCCCATTTCGGCACGTCCTTCACATGTTTCCTGGCGCATGGCGACCACCCCGCCCCGTGCCGGCACACCCCTCACATATTTCGTGGCTCCGCAAGAAGCATCGCCTCAAGCCCCAGTGGCTGCGTTCGCATGGCGTCCCGCCTCAGGTCGCCACGTCCCTCGCGCGCTTCGTGGCCACATAAGGAGCTCCGCCGAAGGCCCCTGCGGCCGCGTCCGCATGGTGGCCCGCCCCACTTCGGCACACCCACTGCACGTTTTGTGGCCCCGTCGGGAGCTCCACCGAAGACCCTGGCGGCTACGTTTGCATGGGTTCCCGCCCAATTTGGGCACACCCCTCACACGTTCAGTGCGACTTGACGCTTTTGGCGAAGTGCTTTCAGGGGTACCACAAGCTCCTCAAAATAATCTCGTGCATTGCGCGGTCCTGTTCGTGACCCTTGCCCGCGACTCGCCACCGACCCACCCGCGACATGCCCGGGACCCGCTCGCGACCCGCCGCAAGCTCCCCGCCGACGACCCCCGCCGCCCCCTGCCTCTTACCCGCAACAGCGGGGGCGATGAATGGGTCTATAAAGGCACACCCTGGGCAACGAATGCTTCGGCTGCGGCCAGCAGGCCGGAGAGGAGTGGCCATGAGAGCTTCCTGGCTTTCCAGGTTTGTAACACATAGTAGTTATGCTAGGGACTTGTCTCTGTTGTCTGCGCCACATCGGCTGGCGTTCATGGCGTGCTTGGGTTGAACTCGGGGTGGACCTCCAAATTCATGAACGACGCTCAGGCTGTTCCAGAACGCTCGGCTGAGACAGCAGCCGGGCCGACCCGCCTCTACAATCTGGCATGAGCATCTGTGCCACCAGAATGCGGGCAAGGTTCGTATCCATATCCAGTGCGTCTTGGATTTTTTGGGAAGGAGCGTCACAAGGCCGAGGCGCACTGGATTTGGAAAAAAATCGCGCTCGAGTCGACTCCGTGTGGCACAATCGTGAAACGTGTGAATTACGCCAGCCACGCACTTCCGCCAGCCACTTGCTCAAAGGCGGGGCTCCACGAACGGCGTGCTCAGCCACACCATCAATGAAGGGGCCCTGGGACACACAAATAAATATAGACAAATAGCAGAATTCCAAATCTTTTCCTGGGAATCGACGATTGATTGTGTCTGTGAGTTTTTTCCCCTCCTGAATCAAACTCTCCTGCAGGCGTCAATCAATTCGCCACTGCACATGTCTCCATCAACCGCGTCTTTCTCAGGATCGCCAGTGTGTGTTGACCCCTTGCTTAGCTGCTGTGCCCCTTGCGCATGCCTGCCAATCCGCATGAGGAGGGTCCACACTGTTCTTCGAACATCGAGGCGAACATCGAACATGTTCCAATCTGGCCTTTGCACTTTGCATGTTATCTCTGATGCGCAAGAGCACTGGGGTCCTTGTAGCCTGGACCGCTTCCCAGGTGCACCTGGCAATCACCACCTGGAAGGCACACAATGTCATGATTTGACTACGCCTCTTCCTCTACGCCACCTTTACCATATTGACAACAGGCGTAGTGATTCTAATCGGGCCATGAGCGCTGGCGACCAAACTCGTCTTACGTGACCCTCGCCCTACTCAATATGACAATCACCATCCTCCCCTCCAAACCAACCTGCTACCGCCGCATTATCCTGGCAGTCGTCATGGCGTTTTTCAGTGTTCTACCCAGTCTCGACTGTGCACCATCGCATTGCTCTTTTGATAGTATCGTTGCCATTCCCATTTGCCCACACACACATACTTACTTTGCATCCTCGCCTCCCCATGCTACTGCAATCTTGCAGCTGCTGGCCGTCGTCATCGTGCACTCGCCATGATGGTGATACCGAGTTTGTCGTTGCCTGTTGCAGTGATGATTTCAGTGATGACGCAGTCACACGTTCGTTTGTGCGAAGATGACCCTAAGATGGCCCAAAAGAGGCACACGAGGGGCCCAAGAGGACCCCCGCACGGCCCTAAGAGCATCCACGAGCGCCCCGAGAGGGCCCCAAGGGCGATTTCGAGGGCTCTTGGAGGGGCAGGGGGGGCGGATATCGTGGACCCCCTCCCTTTTGATCGATGGCCTCCAAGAAGACCTCAAGAGGCCCTCTGGGGCTCCCAAGGGACCCCCAAGAGGGCTCCAAGAGGGCCCCAAGAGGGCCCCAAGACCCCCCAAAAGAGCCCCAAGAGGACCCCAAGATCCCCCAAAAGAATCCCAAGAGGGCTCCAAGATGCAATTTGAGGGCTCTGCCCTCGTCCTCGTTGTCCTCCTCCTCCTCCTCCTCCTCCTCCTCCTCCTCCTCATCCTTGCCATCATTGTCTTCCTTTTCGTGTTCCTCCTCTTCATCGTCGTCGTGGTCGCCGTCGACTTCCTCCTCCCCCTCCTCCTCATTTCCTCGCAACCACGAGGGCCCTGGAGATGGCCAGAAGGGGCCTACCAAGGACCCTCCCGAACATCTCTTTTCATCCTGGTTGCCTGCCTTGTTTCACTACATGTGTCTCTTCGTTCCTTTCCCCATCAATTCTCATGGCAGGTCTGAACTGGGCTGGCGGGAATACGGCCGGACCTGGAACAGAAGATCATCCTTCAAGAACGTGAGACCCTCCGCGGGCAAAACTGTTGAACATTCGAGGGCACCCTCCCCCAGGATGCACAAGAACATCCAACAAACACGAAAAACATGAGGGGATCCTCCCCGAACCGACCTCGATCTTACACCACGGTCCGACCGTACGCGAAACGTGAAGAATTCTCTCCTTCACTTTCTCTTTTTTTTTCTCTCTCACTCTCTCTCTTCCTCTCTCCGACCATCAACAACTCGGGGAACTGTGTTCCTTACCCATCTGGGGGTACCCAGGGTGTCGACGATCTCTCGAGAGGCGTGTCGAAGCAGATGGGGGCCCCAAAATGGGGTAACGACCGCAGCTTCCCAAATTGTGGCGGGCCCCCTATCTCTCTCTCTATCCCCCCTCCTCTCTCTCTCTCTCTCTCTCTTTCCCCCCCCTCTTTTCGGATC